AGCACTCCTTATTTGCCAATAATAAGAAGTGTTATTTCGCCCAGCACAGAGTGGACTACTTAGGGTATATGATATCTCAGGAGGGATCGAGTCGCTACTGACTAAAGTAAAGATTGAGGCCATGCTCAGATGGCCCATACATAAGAATCTAAAGGAGCTAAGAGGATTTTTGGGACTCGCTGGCTACTATCAAAAGTTTGTGAAGGGATACAAATCAATAACATGGCCATTAACAAAACAGCTCAAGAAGGACAACTTCAAGTAGGGAGAATCGGCCACCCAGTCTTTTGAGGAGTTGAAGAAGGCTATAACCAGTGTGTCAGTCTTAACCTTTTTGAATTTTAGCGAACCTTTTCTTGTGGAGACAGATGCTTCAGGCTTTGGGCTAGGAGATGTACTTATGCAGAACTAGAAACCCATGGCCTAATTCAATAAGGTGTTGAAGGCTCGAGCCAGGCTCAAGTCCTATAAGGGGGAGCTGATGGCGATTGTGTTGGCCATTTAGAAATGGCGATCGTATCACCTTGAAAGACATTTCATCGTCAAAATTGACCAAATAAGTTTGAAGTATTTGTTGGAATAGAAAATGGTTATTGAGGAGCATCAAAGGGGCTTTTCAAGTTATTGAATTAAGACTTTGAAATTCAATATCGATCCGGAGTGGAGAACAAAGCCGTAGATGGGTAACCCAAGAGCATAAGGGAACCCCAATTGATGGCATTGTCTGTGCCCTGGGTGGTTGACTGGGCTGCACTGAGTATAGAGAGTGATCATGATGCATGCTTGAAGAAATTTTGGGAGGAGCTGGTAGGAAACAAGGACAACCATCCAGGATATTCAATAGTGGGATAGAAGTTGCTTCATGATGCACAGTTTGTGCTTCCAAAGACCTCTTCTTACATTCCCTGCTTGTTGTAAGAGTTTCATGGAACGGCCATTAGGGAGCATTCGGGGGTCCAAGAGACATATCAACGGTTATCCGTCGAGCTGTATTGAGAGAGGATGCAGAAGGATGTTGAGAAAATGGTGGCTATCTGTCTAGTTGTGATATATGTCAAAGGCACAAGTATTTATCTATCTCTACAGGAGGGCTCCTCTAGCCGTTATCTCTACCAGAAAAGTTGTGGGAGGAGGTGACCATGGATTTCATCGAAGGGCTTCCTAAGTCAGGAGTTTACACTATGATATTGGTATTCGTGGGCCGGTTGAGTAAATATGCTAATTTTATCCCCCTTTTCCACCCTTATGCAGCAGTATTAGTAGCAACAATTTTTTTGAAGGAAGTAGTGATACTACATGGAATCTCGGAATCAATTATATCAGATAGGGACAATATCTTCCTAAGCCAATTCTGGAAGGAAATGTTCAAAATGCAAGGGACCCTCCTTAAAAGAAGCATTGCTTATCATCCATCTTAGGATGGACAAATATAGGTAATCAATCGTAGTGTGGATATCTATATGCGGTGCTTTATATCAGATACACCCAAGTTGCGGGCTAAATGGTTGGCTTGGGCAGAGTATTGGTATAACATATCTTATTATTCAGCATCGCAGACTTCACCGTTCAAAGTGTTGTACAGAAGAGATCCGCCTCGCTTGATATACTATGGGCAAGGCGTCACACCAGTGGCTTCAGTAGAACAATACTTGGATGACAAAGACATGATATTGGGGGAGCTGAAGGGACATTTGTTGAGATCTCAACAAATTATAAAGAAGGCAGACACACATAGACGATACATACAGTTCGAGGTGGGGGACAATGTTTATTTAAATCTTTGTCTCTACAGACAGAAAATCCTGGCACAAAGACGGAATGATAAGTTATCCCTCCGATATTTTGGTCTCTACGAGATAGTGGAGCTATAGGTGTCGTGGCTTATTGTATACAATTACCACCATCAGCAACCATCCATTCATCAGCAACCATCCATTCGATGTTTCATGTGTCCCAGTTGTGGCGGGTGATAGGTGAGCATATTCCTTCCTCGACACTTCCCCTGACCTTGATAGAGGGCATGGAGGTGTTGTTGGAAGCATTGGATGTCGAAGGAGTGTGATCGGGAGTAACGAGAAGCAAATAAGTGTTTATCAGGTGGAAGGGCCTACCGGAGCACGAGGCCACGTGATATTCCTATCAGACTATGCAGCAGCAGTTCCTTGCATTTTACCTTGAGAACAAGGTGGGACTTTGGGGGTGGGGAGAGTATTGATACGATGGAAGCAGTAGGGGTCCGTACCAAGCGGACTTGGGAGCCCCTGGACTGCTCGATCCAACAAATTTTGGCCCAGGTGGGGCTGACTGATAGAGAGGGGGAGTCGGTTGAGGATGTGGGGCCCAACTGAGAACTGAAATATTATGTTGTGAGGAAATCAATTAGGAATCCTTTCCTAATTGAATTTTAAATAGAGGAGGGAAACACATTAGGGAGGATGCTAATTTAGGAGGGAAGGATGAAGCTTTTTTAAGTCTATGTAGAATTTTGTTTTGAGTATTATAGTTCTCTTGTGTGAGCGATCCTAGCGGCATCTAGAATTTGTGAGAGGTCTTTCTCTTGAAAGAAGACCATTTTATTTTGCTTTGTTCATATTTAATTTTCTGTCAATAAAAGTCTATTTTTGTGTTAAATCTCTTGGAGTATTTTGCTATTTTAGATACCAAGACGTATCAAATTCATGTTAAATGCCAGTGGCATTTATATTAATATCATTTATTAATTTCCTTTTATGTATTTTAAATCTCTTTATTATTATAAAAATTATCATTTCTTAAATCAAAATGCAGTTATCTTCCCCACCACAACATTTCATTCCATTTCCAGCCAAATACAGTTGCTTATTATTATAGTTTTGCCAATTCAAAATTTCAGCCAGAAAATTCAAAACAATTTCTTGATTTTGTTACTTTCCTGCATCTTCATGTGCATGTTAACGGCTAAATTATAACCGTTAATCACCTATTATTTCTTCGATGAGGAGATTGAGAGTTTTATTGTAGAATAAATGACTAATGAAAGATTGGAGAAAATTATTCGATCATATCCTCTCAAACACTTCTTATTCCCAAATTTTATAAAGATTGCAAGCAATAAGGTGGTGTGCAACAATGGAAGTTGTTTTGTAAGATCATTTTAGTTTTATTTTAAATTTTGAATTGCTATATTGTGTTAGATGTTGTATCCACAAAATTTGAATTTATTTTTGTCCTTCTTTGAAAGTGCACTACAAAATTATTGTAATTTAGTTGTGTATTTAGATTGTGAGGGATTCTCCATTCACATTTGTTTCAAAGCAGTTTTCTTTTGGGCAGTGGAATCCTAATCTAATACCCCTCAAACTTAAGGGAAAATTCTATAAGATGGTAGTGAGGCCTGCAATGCTTTATGGTGCCGAATGTTGGCCATAAAAAGAGAAGCATAATACTAAGTTAAGTGTGGCAGAGATGAGGATGCTTAGGTGGATGAGTGGCTTTACCCTTAGAGATAGGATACGAAATGAGCATATACGTGAAAAGGTTGGAGTAGCTCCAGTAGAAGATAAGATTAGAGAGAGTCTCCTTAGATGGTTTGGTCACATAAAACGGCGGCCTTCTGATGACCCGGTTAGGAGAGTAGGGGTATTAGATTTTACTTATGTTAAGAAAGGTAGGGGTAGACCTAAAAAGTCTTGGTTAGAAAATATTAGGAATGACCTTTCTTTATTAGATTTAAACGAGAATTTGACTTTTAATAGGACACAATGGATAAAAAGGATTCATGTAGCCGACCCCACGTAGTGGGATAAAGGCTTGATGTTGTTGTTTATATTGTTTTGCAACTTGGTTAATTTTTTTGCTTTCTTATTGGCAACCTATTTAACTTGTTATAAGTTGTGTTAAAAGTTTAATTTATCAAGTCGCTCCGGCCTCTTGATGTGTCATAACCATCAACATTTACTTATGATTCATCCAAGAAGATATAAAATAACATTGCAAAATTATTTCAATAATGTGCATTATTTCTGTAGATAACATATTCAGTGACGCCAAATTAGCACTAGGAAAAGAAAATTTCGCTTTCATTTATTTCATATGAAGGTTCTTGTAGGCTTCTATAAAAATGCTTTGCTCGTTTAATTTCAGCATCTATTGGTGGAAGTGTAACCCATCTGAAAGCATTTTCTAGCATATTCCATGTGAAACTATTTAAGTTGAGTGAAGATCATGATATCGCCTTTATCTCTATTTAACAAATGCGGATAGGTAAATCACTCTATCAATAAATTAGGGTTTATAGACGCAATATGAAATGATTAGGAATGAGAAAGGGTTGGCCAAAAATAACATGGTATGAAGTGCATAAAGACCTGCAAAGTAGAGTTAAATTTTATGCAGTACTCTAGAGTAATTAATGGAGTTTGATCATTTATATCATACCCTAAGTGTCATTATAAGGCTAATGATGGTGATGTTGATAATGATAAAGCTTCTTTGAATGTTTAACCTTGAATGCAAGGTTATTTTGATGGCCAATAGGATTATAAGAAGATAATATAAGGGGTTTCTGAGAAGGAAAGAACATCAGCAGCAAAATTTAGGCTTTGTTTTCTTATTTGTGACGAGTAGTTAAAATTTCTTAGTTGACCTTATCTTCTATGATTGTTTCTCTCCTCATGTTGTTGTTTCAGAGACCAATCCATGAAGGGAGAGCTGTCCGCCCCTTGCACTGTTTGTTTGTCTTAAATATTATTATATCCTCCTTTTTAACCATGGAAATACTCCTGATGCTAGTGTATATTAATAATTTTTTAGTTTTAGTATTAAGTTGAGTTGCATTTTGACATTTTGAAATTAAGGCTATTTTGTATTTGTAATGTATATATCCACTAATTTTTCTGCTGCCTTTGTTTAGTTATTTTTTTTCCTGATTTCTTCATGGACATTCCATGAATTCAAGCTATCCGGCATGGTTGCATGTCTTATAGCCGCAGTTTAATTTGACTTAATTGCTTAACTCGCAGATAAGGAAAATTTGTGTCTTTATGGATTTCCCAGTGAGCAGTGGGAAGTTAATCTTCCTGCAGAAGAGATTCCACCAGAATTACCCGAGCCTGCTTTGGGCATTAACTTTGCCAGGGATGGAATGCGAGAGGAAGATTGGTTATCTTTGGTTGCAGTACACAGCGATGCATGGCTAATTTCCGTTGCGTTCTATTTTGGTGCTAGGTTTGGATTTGATAAGGCTGAAAGGTTATTAATTACTCTGATAAAAGGCTTAAGATTATGTGATCTGATTTTCTATTTTATCATCTTCCCTTTTTTTTAATATGCTATCTCATTTATTTTCCTGTTTTATTTTTGCAAAAGTGTTTTTTTTTTTTTTTGAGAAATGATCTAAAAAGCTGCATATGATGATCTTCTCTCATCCTCATCTTGATCCTCATCATTACTATAATCACCTTTAACCAATTTCAGTTGTTACTGAAGAAGTGAGCGAGAAAGGGAAACAAGAACGTGAATGACAGAGAACCGGAGAAGAAGATAGAAACAAGAAAATAGACAAGACGGAATTTATTTCATCTAATACATACACATTACAGGGTTCTATATATGGAGTATTTAGCTATACATTACGTATATGGCAGCCAATAGGAAAATGCCAGCTTATAGACTCTAATTAGAACCATCCAGACATTATTTTTCTATGTTTTTTAATATGCCCCTGCAAACTGAAGGGTCTTGGAGAATGGTCAGTTTGGTTCTAAGCTCATGAAAACGAGGAGTCGATAAGGATTTGGTGAATATATCGGCCACTTGATCAATCGTGCTGATGGGAAGCAGACGAATGTTGTGATTCTGAATGTGATCACGCAAGAATCTCTGATCAATCTCAATGTGTTTCGTACGAGCATGAAACACAGGGTGGTTTGCTAGCACTATTGATGAGGTATTGTCGCAGTATAGATCAGTCGGTTGATCTTGTGGTAGTCCGAAATCCTTGAGGAGGCGACGTAACCAAATAATGTCTGAAGTGAGAGCAGCAAGAGCCCTATATTCAGATTCAGTTGAAGACCTTGCCACTGTGTGTTTTTTCTTAACTGTCCATGAAATTAGCGTATCACCGAGGAAGGAGCAGTATCCAGATGTAGATTTTCGAGAAATTGGATCTCCGGTCCAGTCTGCATCTAAAAAAGATTTGAGCAAGAGATTAGTATTTGTAATTGGCAAACCATAGTCAAGCGTACCTTTTATATATCGGAGTAGGCGTTTGAGTAAGTAGAAATGTTGTGGAAGCGGTTCATGCATATGTTGCGATAGCTGGTTCACACTGTAATATGCATCTGGGCGCGTGAGAGTCAGATATTGTAGTGATCCTGTTATCCGCCTGTAAGTGGTGGAATCCGAGAGGAGGTGATAGGTTGGAATTACTGCAGGGAACTTTGTGCACGTAGGATTTGACAGTGGATTACATTCGGTCAAGTTAACGGATTGAAGGATAGACCGAGCATAAGGTTTTTGAGATAAGAAATATTGTTGATTTTGTTTATCTATTTGGATACCAAGAAACGAATGTGCTTCTCCCAAATGTTTCATAGAAAATTGATTGTTAAGCTGTCTAAGGATGTTGTCAATAGCTTCTGAATTGTTTCTGGTGAACAATATGTCGTCAACATATATTAAAAGAAAAATTTGAATGTTGTGTTTGCGAAAAATGAGAAGAGACGGATCAGAAGCACTATGACAAAAACCAATAGACGCAAGATATGAGGTAAACGTATTATACCATTGCATGGGCGCTTGTTTAAGACCATAAAGAGCTTTGTTTAGAAGGCAAACGTGATCCGGATGTATGACATCTTGAAAACCTTTAGGTTGGATCATATATACCGTTTCCGAGAGTGAGCCATGTAAGAACGCGTTGGCGACATCGAGCTGCTGAACAAACCAGCTGTTGTGCAAAGCAATGGTTAGAAGAATGCGTATGGTCGGTTGTTTGGCCACTGGACTAAACATTTTGGTGTAGTCCAGTTCGTATTCTTGATGATTTCCTTGAGCGACCAACCGAGCTTTGTGTTTGGCAATGGTTCCGTTAGCATGGAATTTTGTCCTATACGTCCATCTGCAGCCCAAGGCGGAAGCATTAGGAGGTAGGGGAACTAGAGTCCAAGTTCCCTGCTTTTGTAAGGCAAGAAATTCCTCTGCCATTGCATTCCGCCATTCAATAGATTTAACAGCTTCAGTGAATGTTGTTGGATCCGACGGAACCTCAGGAGCTGTTGTGTGATGAAGAAGATTTAGGCGTATTCTGGGTTTTAGAGAACCCGTTTTCTGCCTGGTGACCATCTGGTGAACCGATTCCTTATGCTGCTGGATGGAAGGTTGAGTCATGTTGCCAGTAGGTTCAGTTATGGGCGTTGGGTGAGAGGAGTCGTGAGCAGAATTTGGTTGATAGATAACAGGAGGAGATTGAGTAATATTGGGGTAGATAGTGTGAGGAATGGATGTTGGTGTAAGAAGGAATGGATGAAGTTCGTTGGGTTTTGCTGAGGTAGACAAGCTATTTTCACCGAACGGAAAGGAGTGCTCATCAAAAGTAACGTGACGTGAGATAGTAAGTTTATTTGTGTGAGTGTCTATACATTTGTAACCTTTATAGATATCAGAGTATCCGAGGAATATATGAGAGTGAGATTTCGGTTGTAGTTTGTTGCGGAGATGAGCAGGTTGTAAGGGGAAGCATTCACATCCAAAGACATGTAAATGGTCATATTTAGGTTTAACTTTGTTGAACGACTCGAAAGGAGGAACGTTGGCAGTCGTAGGCGAGGGCATACGATTTATGAGGTAAACAGATGTTAAGATAGCTTCAGGCCAGTGCTTGTGAGAAACCGAGGCGGTCTGAAGAAGTGTCCGAGTAGTCACAATAATATGACGGTTTTTTCTTTCCGCAACTCCGTTTTGTTCGGGAGTGTAAGGACAGGAGAGTTGATGATAGATTCCATTATCTTTAAGAAATTTAGTGAAAGAGTTAGTAAGGTATTCGCCGCCTCCATCAGTGCGAAGCCTGATGTGTTGAGAGGTGAGTTTTTCTATTTGAATATATCTGAAACCTCGGATTTATGTTGCATTGGGAATACCCAAGTGAATCGAGGAAAATCGTCAATGAACGTGACATAATAAAGATATCCATTAGTAGAAGCAATGGGTGCAGGACCCCATACGTCAGAATGCACGAGTTCAAGAATTGACGTTTTACGATTAACAGATTTGTCAAAGGCTATTTTGTGGCCTTTTGACTTATTACAAGAATGACAAGAAAAAGAAGGAACATCAATCTTTAGATGAGGATTACCAGAAGCAATCTGAGTAATAATCCTCTTATGCGGGTGACCTAATCTGTTATGCCAAAGAGTGGACCGGAGAGTGTTAGCCGAAAGAGCCTTTGATGCCGACTTGGATGTGGAGGTTCGAAGTGGATATAGACCATCACGGCATGGTCCTCGAAGAAGAACTTTGTGAGTCTTCAAATCCTTGAAAACAAAGCCAGAGGGATCAAAGATTATAACAATATTGTTATCTTTAGTCAATTTAGAAATAGATAATAAGTTGTAGTGCAGTGAAGGCGTATAAAGAAGTTGAGAAAAGTTTAGCTTACGAGAGGGGGTCGGCAGCAAACCTTTACCCGATTGTTCAATGCTGACCGAACTCCTGTCGCCTATGGTGATGCGATCAGACCCTTGGTAAGGAGTAGAAATGGACAAATTGTCAAGTGAGTTAGTAAGATGAGCCGACACTCCCGAGTCAAGGTACCTGTTCGTGTGGGCAGAAGGGGATACGACTACCAAAGCCTTGTTTGCATTCTTTGGTAAGGACGGAACATATTGCATATTTGATCGGTGCCAGCAGGATGCTGCATCGTGACTAATCTTGAGACATATCTGACACTGGACCGAGGAATTCGGAGATGAGCGAGGGTTCTGATTGCTGTAGGAAAAGTTCTTGCCTCTGTTTCGTTTTCCACGACCTCTGTTTGAGAACAGAGCCGTTTGTGATTCGCCCAGTAAGATAGAACGAGCGGAGTCGGAAGCGACTTGAATTTCATCACTCATGAGAAGAGAGTAGAGATGATAAAGACTTATAGGGGTGAGCATGGTCCGGATAGAGGTTTTAAATGATTGATAGGAATTTGAGAGGCCATTAAGGATATACATAATAATATCTTTAGTTTCAACATTTGAACCATCTGCAGTGATTTGATCAACAATGGTTTTGATTTCAGTTAGGTATTGGGACATAGTCAGATTCTTGAGGGAGATGTACTGAAGAGTGTTCTTGAGTTGAATGACTCTTGACCTATTAGAAGACTGAAATCTAGTATCAAGAGTTGTCCATATGGCAGAAGTGGACTCAAGATTAATGACATAAGGGAGCACAGATGCGGATATAGTGGAGCAAAGAGCAGCAGTAAGATTTTGATCGGTAAGAACCCATTGGGTGTGGCGAGGATTGGGACGTTGTGAGCCATCGGGTTGAGAAAGAAAACGATCAGGGATCGGAAACACGGGATCGAGAAAGATTTCAAACCCGTTAGCGCGAAATATTTTGATAATATGGGATTTCCATAGCGAATGATTCTCGGTATTGAGCTGATTCTACACAATGTTCTTGAGATTTGAGATAACAAACTTCAGGGTTGATGAAATGATCGGAGCTTCACTGATCTCTGCTTCTGCAACTTCGCCGATCTGAGATGTAGCGGAACTAGCCATAAGCGTCGGGATCTAGAGGACCCGCTCTGATACCATGAAGAAGTGAGCGAGAAAGGGAAAAAAGAACATGAATGACAGAGAACCGGAGAAGAAGATAGAAACAAGAAAATAGACAAGACGGATTTTATTTCATCTGATACATACACAGTGCAGGGTTCTATATATAGAGTATTTAGCTGTATATTACATATATGGCAGCCAATAGGAAAATGCCAGCTTATAGACTCTAATTAGAACCATCCAGACGTTATTTGTCTATGTTCTTTAATAGTTACTGGTTTTATGAATTCTCCTTCATTTCTTCTTATTGGCTGCTATTTCAAGTGTTAAATTTTATTTTATTTTTAAAAGCATCTAGGCACTAATAACCATTTTATTCTTCCATATTAATTTTGTCTACTCACTTATAGGTGCATCTAGTGTGCTCTTTAGTATTTGCTTGCTTTTAAATCAATTTTTGATTGTCATATATTTGTTAGGTAGCTCTCTGTTAATATTTTTGATATAGTCATATTTACTTGTTAAGTTCTGTGTGACCCGAAATTGTCTCAACACAATTTGAAACTAATTTGACTTGAAAATTTAATTTACAATATTTGTCTGTTGTCAAATGAGCATTTAAGTAATAAATATGTTATATATAAATATGCAACATTACAACACTTGCACCAAAAAAAAAAGCTGAACAAACATATCAAAGAGAAATCGATCAATACTTCAAAATGTATCTCTATAGGTTGATTATAGATGATATTGTAGAAAAAAATAGTACAAAAATAACATACAACAACATCAATGACAATAACCAAATCCTTTTCGATTCTGCTTTGCGGATCAAGTTCGCCAATTGCTTTAAAACTGAAAACCTTTATCTGCAATGACAATAAATAACTGAATATTGCAAACAAGTCCTGCTATTTTGATTAGCTGTTGTACCATTACTTATTTGGAGCGATTTAAATTCTTGAGATACTAATCCATGGCTATACTTTCGCTGGCTGTGATGCAGGAAGCGACTCTTTGATATGATTAATGACCTGCCTACTATATTTGAAGTTGTGAGCCGAAAGCATAATGCGAGGTCTTTAGGCCCTTATCATCGCATCAACAAAAGTAAATCAATTCCTAAAATGGTAATGCAGTTTCTTTACATTGGCCATAAACCTCTTCTATCATTCTACTTTCTCCTTTTTCTATGTTTAATGTTCTAATCAGCTAAACTTCATTATATGTTGTCGTTGATGTTTTTCCTCTCTGCATGAAAATTATTTTTTAACCTTTTGTAAGTTACAATCAGCGGCCTCCTTTTCAGTAGTTCACTGGGTTGGTTAATTATAATTACAAAGTGGCATATGTTGAGTGCATTCACATTATGACATACATGCATGTTACCCCATATTGAAAGCATCAGTTGCATATCGTACATAATGTTTAAATTTCAAGTATTGGTTTACTCTAAAGGTTTACATTTGCTTCTCCATTCAAAATTTGCTAGCGAATTTCTCATCACCATAACCCCATCCCTCTTTCGGTGCCTTTCTCTGCCTTCATTCCCTATTTTTAGCACAATTGTCCACTTGCATTGTAGCCTTTGAAACTTCAAAAACTCTCATTTCTCCTTCTTAAGAAACTTTCCGGGTGGTTGACTTCCTTGCTCGCTCTCCTTCTCAGTGCGAAGTTGGATTGCGTGGAAATCCTTAAGCTACTCTTGGACGGTATGGACACCAAGGGTGGATAGGAGTCCGTCTTCAAATAGATCCTGTAGCTTATTCCACAAGGATTTAGCACACTTCATTCGATACATGGTGTAAGAGCCGCAGTTAAGTGTACTTGGGCGAGAGTCATGTTAGGGTGGGTGAGCTCCTAGGAAGTCCTCATGTCATCAATTAATTAACGACTTGCTAACGGTGGGTGCGAAAAGATTTTATTTATATTTTTTCAAAAAAACGACTTGAGAACTACAACTTCTCAAACTATTGTTCATTTGTTTGTTCAACATTATTATTGTTATGCAAAGGTATTCATCATATTATTTGTTAGTTTTCAGCAGCATGCATTAGATCCTCAGGCCATGATGAACACAAAGGGTTCACAGCAGCAGGAAGAAGAGGATGAAGATGTGGAGGAAGAGGAAGAAGAAGATGAGCATGCGGATGCCCTTTGTGGGGCCTGTGGGGAAAATTATGGCTCAGGTGAGTTCTGGATATGCTGTGATGTCTGCGAGAAGTGGTTCCATGGCAAGTGTGTTAAGATTACACCCGCAAAAGCAGAACACATCAAGCAATACAAGTGCCCTACATGCAGCAACAACAAAAGATCTCGCCCTTCTTGAAGGTTTTTACTCGGCTTCTTTTTCTCTTGTTTTGTAAGAATGTTTAATTTTGCAACTAATTTGGGATCCATGCATGATGCTAGATTTTCAAGACGGTAGGTATTCTTTTGCTTGGATTGATGTAATGATTAGGTTGTTTTTAAGAGTCAAATTTTTATTTACATTTAATTAAAAAAAATCATTTCTAATACTTTTGAACCAAGTCTTTCAGGTCTATTTCTACCTTTCTTAATTAGGCCTGACCTTATACATCTACTCTTCTAATAAGGTTATCGGAAGGCCAACATTTGATATGACCAAATCATCTCAGGCTGACTCTTTCTAATCTTATTTGCCATTTGAACTACAACTTTTTAACGTATAATCTTGTTTCTCATTTTATCTCTAAGTGTAAAGTTGCTCATTCACCTAAGCATTCTTGCTCTGCAACAATTAACTTAATTTTATGTTTCTATTTTAATGGCCAACATTTTACGCTATAAAGTATTGTAGGTCTCACTATCATCTTATAAAAATTTGATGAGTACCTTTCTATCACACAACTGGCCAAAAGCATTCCTCTACTTTAACTATCGAACTTGAATTATGCCAGTAATATTCACGTCTATTTTACCATCTCTTTGAACAATAGACATGATATATCTACAAGGTGCACTCTCTTTTTAATGATGTGATCACCAATGTTACAATCTACTATTAGATCTATTACTACTAAAATTAGACTCCATGTATTCGATTTTAGATCAACTCAAACGAAAATGTTTAGACTCTATAATAGCCACATATCAAAATTTATCATGGTCGTGATGCGATTCAGTGTTGCGCTCTGTGTAGTAAGGATTATTATAATATACTGCATGTATATGATGATTAGTAATATAAATTGATTCTCCTCTGATGTTGAGTACCCATCCATACTCACCCACGAGGCTATGAGCGTACCCATACCCACCCATGCCCATTGGGTGGGTACGTGGGTGGGTGTGGGTATGGGTACCCAATGCAGGGCTCTGATACCAAGTTATATGCTCTTGCAAATGTCTAGTAAGAACATCCATTACTAAATCAAAAAGGGCTGAGGTTAAAGTTGATCCTTGATGTAATATAATAGAAATAGCTCTTGTATGCATATTTAAAGTTGATCCTTGATGTAATATAAACATAAATAGCTCTTGTATACATATTCTTAATGACTTCAATATAAATATTATTAAATCTTTGATGCTTTAGAAACACTCCAAAGTATTTCTTTTGGAACAAATATTATATATTTTCTCTAAATTAATATATATCATATGTAGATCCTACTTTCTCTACATTTCTCTATCAAACCTTTCAACAAATGTACAACTTATATATAAAACCTACATTACATGAATCTAAACCGATTTTGAGAAGCATTAGTATCATGTTGTAGGCAAATTATTGCATCTGATCATCGGACGTGGAAAATAGGTTCGGACATCTAATAAAAATTTGCCACGTTACATGCGCTTTTGACTTGCACTTTAGTTGCGCTTTGACTGCGTTTTACCTGTGCTTTTGACTCGCTTAATTTAAAATAATATTTTATTAATATCCGGACCTATCTCCGCGTCCGGTGACCGGATGCAATAATTTGCTCATGTTGTAACCTATGCTCAATTATACTCTCTTATAATTTTAATGTATGACATATTAACTTTATTTCTTTATAATTTGCACGCTCTTGTGAATCATTTTTATTTTTAAAAATAGGAAGCCCGCACTCCACTCATATGATATTTTTTTATCTTCAAAATGATATTAAAAAGTTTGGTAAACTAAAAAATTATTTGATCTTCTATTTATTTTTAAATATCTATTGGAATATCATCAGCTCTTTTTTTTTTTCATACTTTATTTTTATTAAAACATCTTCAACTTCAAATTTTGTAGATAATAAAAATAAAAATCTCTATTTTAATTTAGAGTATTAAAATCAATAAAATCAGTTGGCTTTTCACAACCTTCATTTATCTAATTATCTCATTCACCTATGTTCTATATATATATTTTTATTATCAACCTTAATTCATTTCTCTGGAATTAAATCATTATTTCTCTTATCTCTTTGTTTTGTTAACTTATACATAAATCTTTCACTTTCCTTATTATCCAAATTTTATATTCTGAACCAATTTTTATTAATTTATTTTTTATTTTTTATCTTTTCTATGATATATTAGAAAAATTCAACTAATGAACAGATCCTAGTTGAAAATATTATGAAGGTAAATTGCAGACCATCTCTATCAGATGTTAATAAAAGTTACCATAGTAAATAACAAATCATGTAGAGATGGTCTGCAATTTACCAAAAAATATAGTTTTTATTTTTATTTTTTTACATGATTTGCTATTTACTATAGTTTTTATTATTTGCTATTTCTGCAAAGAGAAAAAGAAATATATAGTTTTTATTTTTACTTGCATGTCAACATATAATTGTTATTATCCTTCTTATCCTGACCTCTTGCATGAATAAAATATATGATATTTAATAAAAAAAAAAAATAATATATTTATAAGATATATTGTATATCATGTTTAAATTGAAAAAGATTTAGGTCCCAATAATCTTGAAGATGATAGTCCTTTTTAGAGTAAAGGAAATTATTTTGATATTATCAAGAAATCAACCCAAAAAATCAGGAAATGACAATTTATATGCAAATAAGTAAAATTACATGAGACATTGTTGCGTGCTAGAATATACGGGGCAGTAGAGTTAAAAAATATTCGTCTTAGCGTTGCACGAGTATTCCGCACACAAACAGAAAAGTGAAATGAACACCAGAGTTTTTACGTGGAAAACCCAAAAAGGTAAAAACCACGGGGCCTCGCTCAGTTGTAAAGTTCCACTAGTATTTGTTTGAAGTACAAAGGTTGATCCGTCTCACAAATCAAGACTATCAATTTACAATCAACTTCTCACAAAGTTACAAAGTTCTGCAAATTCCTGGCGTTTCCCGAAAATCCGGCAGAGTTCCGGCGTCTTCAGGCGGCGGGAAGAGCTCCGGCGGTGGTCGAGGAGGAGCTTATTCCTTCTCCTCATTCTTTTCTTCTTCTTCTCTCTCTTCACTTGAGTCCCCTTTGTGTAGAATGAGGGC